CATAATACGATTTTATTTATATGTCATTTGTGTCAAATGTGGAAATTTATATTTATATGTCAAATGTGGAAAAATAAAATAAATTTTAGATTATGATCTATATTCTACAATGTAAACATTTCTTAGGTGACTACTTCAGTCAGTTAATTTACATTCTAAGTCATCTACATTTTGACTCACATCTACAGCTTTCTTTCCCCCCCACCCCCCACCCCCCTTTGTTTCCCTGGTATCCAGCCTTCCTATGAACCAGCAGATATGATTTTCTTCTTTGATTTTCTATCAAGTAAGAATTCTGAGTGGAATTTTTTATTCGTTGATGCCTTGTTCAAGTAAGCGTATGGAAAATTATCTACTCTACTTTCTTTATTTTTAAGTTGTAACACATTTGAAATAATCTTTCCTGAAGTTAGTCTAAAAAGCTTAAGAAGGACAAGTTGATCTAGCTAGTTTCTTATTTTGTGTACACTGTTACTATGAGTTCCCAATGTTTATGGAAGCGAATATGGCAAAAAGAAAATGGAAGATAATTAAGGGCTATCAGGCCCATTCTTCTGCAGGAGGAGACCGTGCACAACCCTTAGAGAAAGAAAAGAGAAAAGAGCTGATCTTGTTTCACTCAATACTTCAGAGAACTGCAAAAGACACCTCTCAAAATGGGTAACATTCAGCTGGGAGAATTTTTTCTGCCACTATCTATGATGATTTTTTAAACCTCGTTTGAATCACTGCAACCGAGATCTATTTGACTTTCAAAGGTCAACTTCAGAGTCAATGGATGCAGCTTATGTTTTGCTCACACACTCCTGTGAGTACCGTGCCTGGTCTTTTTCAAGTGTCACCATTGCAGTCCCTTTTTATAACACTGTGCATTCAATTTCCTTTTATGCTGTTAACAGGTCCTACAGCAATTTCTTTCAGTTTTACATTGTATTCCTCCCATTCTCAGACCAGCACTCTGGGGTTCAGTCATTGCTCTTCTCTTGACATACTTTTGCAGGATAATAATGTTCACTTCCAAGCTTAATTTTTCATTTCTCCCTAACTTTCCTCTTGGTCCTCGACCCTTCTTTAGTCACATCCCTCTGCACGTGTCTCAGACATCTAACAATACCTTTAAGCCACCATAAGGCTTTAATGGGAACAAACAATGTTTCTTCTTCTGGTCATTCTTAAGAATGCCGCTACCTTTGCTGCATCCAAACATGAAAGAATCATCTATTTCTTACTCATCCCATGTCCCTTAAAAATGACCTCTTACTTCTTTTTTGGAATATTTTCAAGAGATGACAGGGGCAACACAGCCTCCCAGTTTTTCCAAAAGCAAACAGAAAAGTGCCTTCATTGACTGTAGAGTTTGGAGCAACGGTGCCTCCCCACGTGCCTCTCCCCAGCTGGGCTGCAGCAGTGAAACCTTCTGATGATGCTCTACTTGAACCATTGTTTCTTATTTCCCAGCAGCCTCCTGTTTGCTGAGTTCCTGTTTTACCAGTTCTGTCTTCTTCACCCACCAAAACACAAGTGGGCAAGATTTTCTGTCTTCCAGTACATTGACCAGAACCTCTATGACTGACATCATCTTCTTCAATCTTCTGTATCCAATGAAGGTGCCATGGAATAACACACTTGGAATTTATGTGCAAAGCAAACCAGGTGCGCGGGCACAGAAAGGCTACTGCCGTCACCAGTCTGTTCCCACCGCCACCGGGAGACTACCTCTTTTGAACAAGGCTAATCGGCGTGCCAGGCTGCGGTGGGAAGGCTGGTTGACAGTGCTGCTCATTCACCTGAACTTCAGTTTTGTAGGAGCCTCTTCCTTTGATCTCCCAGGTGATATTTAACTGGTATAATTTAGCCTGCCCATTCTTAGATCTCACTGGGCACAGGTTTTAGATCCTGTAACACTTCTTCTTTTTCCCCCAGAGGATGGTAACTACCTTCACTTGAGAAGAGCTTCAACCCTTTCACAAGAGCCATTCATTTCAACCACAAATAGCAAACTGCTTTTGCCATTTTGGCACATAATATAATGAAGAGCCAAATCCTGTTCCCAGAGAACTCACTTAAGGTCAAAAATAGCAAAGCTAAGCTTGGGTGGTTCAGGGAGCCATGATGCCATCATTATTATGCCGGTTTTCTTGCATCCCACTCTCTCTGTTTTTTTTCTTTTAGATAGTGAATCCTGAAAGTTGCAGTTGCAATTCTGGTGTCCACAAATTAAAATGCTTCTGACTTTACAGTCTTGCATGAACTTCATGAGAAAATATTTTGAAGAAATCAAGGTCACCATTGACAACAGGTGCTTCTTATTCCACATTTATACAGATAACAAGAATGTTCAGAGTTAAACAAGACAGAATTAAAAGGAAAAAAAACTGAAATGGCTTTCCGTCTCTTGCCTAAGGGTATTAACTAAGATCTGAAAGGCAGTTAGGAGGAAACTTTCTTTTATGGTGGGTTAACCCATAATTGCCTATTGCAAGGTATCTTACACTTTGCTCGGAAGCATTTGACATCGGCCAGTGTAAATGACTGAGGACTGGACTGGAGGGATTGGTATTTCTATTGATACTTATCCCAGAGTACGAAAGATTAGAAAACATTATCTAATATATTGAATGTTGTTTTCTGATTGAACATAGTAATCACATGTGCATAAAAAAGAAAATAGTTACTTTTTAGGAGAGTGGGAAAAATGGAGAAAGAACGCTATTGGGATTATTAAGGTAAAACAAAAAAAAATCAGTAATATGACAAACAATAATTTACTAGGAACACCATACAGCATTGCTGTAGTGCTAGCAGTAATCTGTTAAAATTCCTTGGAACAATCTTAATTGTCACTGAATCCAGAATGGATGACAATTACTAATGCACATATAATTAACATTAGAGATTTTAATAAATTGTTTTTGTTCTGAAATTTGCTACTACTGTGAAAAAAAAAAATCCCAATCTAAAACTAGGTAAGTTCGCAACTTTATTTCACATTTTTTAACTTTTAGGGTGAATTTTTAGGATGAACTTATCCATGTTAATACTTTATTACTTTTCTCTCTTTACTATGCAGCCTAACACAAACACATCTTATTTACCTTCACTATCTTGATGAGAGTCTTCAGCTGGTAGATGTGAAGCTGAAGGTCTAATCTATCAGCCAGCCACATGCATATGACTTTCATGGAGCTGCTATACCATTGCTGAAAAGGAGGATAAAAAAAAACCAACACCAAACAACCCTGCAGTATTCATTTAACAGATTTGGTAATGAGAGGTAATGAAACACTTTGAAATGATCACAGATCAGCACTTGAAGTCAACAATGATATAATTTCCTGTTAAGAGAATCGCATGGGTCAGTAGGAAAGCAAATAACTTGACCTAGACTGTTCTTTACATGAATTAGCAACTGCCATTTTATCTTTCAGTTACAACATTTTCAAGCAAAATAGCGTTATGCACTTTGCTATCTGTCAGTAAGAATGGATATTAAATACACAATTACATGAGAGAATTGACAGCTAAAAACAGCAAGGGCAAAAACAGGTGGGGTATCTTGAGAGAGATAATACCTAGATTTTCCAATCCAAACAGGAAAACAGCATCAAACATAGAAAATGGAATCTGTCTTGCTTTTTTCTTTTAAATCACTTATTAAGTAAAAAAAGTCAGAAATCTATGGAAACTGTATTTAAGTATGATCAAAACACCGCTCCACCCCTCCCAAAATAACCACGTTTAGGTTTTGTTTTGCGTTAATTACTAATTATAATTACAGCCTACCTTATTTCCTTTTTATGTCTCAGGCATGGCTATGTTTTCATGCAAAGCTTCACAAACGAATGGGGTAAGAATAAAGTCTCTGCTGTTGGTGTCTATGTTACCGTAAAAAAATGCTCAGATCCAAATAGCTACTATAATAGTTCTTTCACATTAACTGGATTAAAAGAGATTTTACTAAACATAGTTGTAGCAGTTTTCCTCCCCCTCCTGTAAAATACCAACCAGATGTCATTTAGTCAAACTGTAAAAAGGAAGGGATGGGTTTTTTTTTCATTTTAGCAGTGAGAGATTAAAAGAGTTTGTGTCGTAGCTGTGTTTCTAGTTTCTTTCCCCACAGGGAAGAGGCTTAAATTCTTTTCTAATGTAATTTCCCGTGTCTTTACAAAATACACAGATATGCAAAGAGAGGAAACACTGTGCGTATTTTAAAATGCAGCATGTTAGGCAAGGTATACATCCTAAGTAATTCAAAGGAAGGATCTAACATGTCTCGTTAGCCACCTCTATGTTAACAAACAGAATAAAATATATGTTGAAAAAATGAAGACAAATTACTGGCTACTAGATGTAACAAAAGACAGAAATAGAATTCTTTCATCAAAATGTAAGCTCTCTGGAAAAAGCTTTAAAGACATACATAAATAAAGATATATCAATACTTTTTCCTTACACGAAACAGTCTCATCTCATTGTAACTATCAGTTTTAATATAAGTTTGAAATAAGATTTTCATATAATAATGGCTTCCATTTACTTTGTTTAATGTGTTAAAATGTATTTTAAATATAAATCATTGGAAATAAATTAGTTTTACATTTTTTAGAGTTTCTCCTATTAATTTACTATTTTACAAACATGAACAAACACACCACACAAAATGCAGATAGCTGCACATTTCATAAAAGTAGTTTAATTTATTCAATAAAATGTGGGATTGATTGGGTATCCATAAAATACTGGTTTTTATCACTGAATGACACTCTTATACTATTTACATTATTTCACCCCAAACATGCTTGCTGGTTTTGATTTCCTTTATGAGTACCTGTAAAATATTTTTAATGTGACAGAGTTGTTACTAAGTGGCAGCTGTAAACTACATGACAAATGTTGTATGTATACAGATGTCTAGAAAATAAAATACAGTTGAGCTTATTCACTCGGGGAACTCTATTGATCTAATAAACATAAAAAATCATATGCCAAGCATTCTACCCAGAATATCTATCGTTATTTGCAGTAAGATGAGCCCAATTATTGTATCATCACTCAGCCTCTCCAGTTGTTAATCTTTAACATAATCATGGTAGAGAGAATGATTTCAGTAGCAGAGTTTTCTCAAAACTGATATTCTTCTATTAAAAAAAATCCAATAACACATCCACGATGTATTTGGTTTGTATCAAGCAGAAAACAGAAGGGGCTCAAACTTGCTCACATGAACAAACTACAGACAGGATCGAAAATTCTGTGATCGGTTTCCCCATGCAACACCACTGAATGGTGCCAGATCACTGAGAATAGAGCCAGACCCAGCTTTCTGGCAAAACATGTTTTAAAGCCCAGCCAGAAAACTTAATTAAGATGGATGCAGTAAAAATGAGACTTTCCATACATATCTGTGATATGCTTACATGCACTGAAAACAAAGCTAAGAAATTAGAGGGAATTAATTTTGCTACTCAAATTTATGAATGAAAACAATCTAATATGTTTTCCTGACTAGTTTTGATACATTAAACTTTCAGTAGAGATGTTTAATTTGGTGATTGTGAAATGCTACTACAGTACTTGCTCCTCTGTCAACACACCTTGTTCAGAAAAAATATGACTGCTATTGTATTAGAAAAAGATGTATTCTTATTTTGAACTGTCACAGTATTTTTAATAAAAATCACATCCAGTATATTTTTAGAGTACTCCTAGAGGTACTTGTGCATGGGATTCCTCTTCACTATTGGCCTTATACCCACTAGTTTTGAGCACTCAGCATAGGCTGAAGCTGCATAAACATAAATCTGCTGGACTTCATAAGAAGAAAAGTAAATATTTCCCTATCGCTTCTTTTGGAGTCTGTTAAAATGGCCAGCACTGCAAATGCCTCTTAGAGGGGGAATCCAAGGCCACACATTTTGACAATCATGAGCACGTTATAGAGGCAGGGATGCATCTACTGTGACTTATGGGAATCTATTGCAAACTGAAAAGCCTCAGCAATTAGATAATGGTCCTGAGATTACACATTTTTTAAGTAATAACAATTAAAAAAAAAATCCTTCCAACTGATTTTAAGAAAAAGTCACTTTCCCACTAGTAACAATAGCACTGCAAGGACAATGTGACTCTGTGGATGTCAATGATATGGTATTAGTGCCATATTCTTTGCTGTTGTCTGTGCAAAAATATTATATATTTTTTTCACATCAGCACATAACAGCAGCCAACCGCTTTAACAAAAACATGTTTGCCTCCCTGTTTCCCCCCCTCTTCTTATTCATGGCTCCTGTAAGGGCATGCATTACTCACTTCATTTTCCTGAGATATCTCTTTTAAAGTAAAAAATAAGAGAAAAGGAAAGGCTAGGGTTGACTCTGTGAGACCCCTGTATTTATTCACACTTACTGTGCATGACTGTAGACTGGTAAATCATATTAGCAGCCTGTCTCCCCATCAAGCTGCTACTTGCTTTCCAGCCCTGGGAAGGTTCAACAAATCAACAGGAGCACGGAAAACAGAACATCAGTCTAATCTAGTGTTTAAGGTGAAGTTTTCAAACCCAATCTAAGAAGATCTTTAGAGCAAGCAACAAGCTGAAGGGCTCAGAAGGTGGTATTGACAATGAATTGAGAAGCGCAGCACTTGTGCATTTTTAATAACAAGAGGGTCAACAAGGACACAGCTCCCTCAGTGCCAATAGTTGCCACACCAGGGCTATAAACGCTCTCAGTTCATCAGATTTCTTAAACAGTTCATCAGCTTTCTTAAACACCCTAAACCCCCTCAGCGGACCTTTAGTCTTAAATTAACAAACCAAAGCAATGAAAGAGGGTGCAGCTTGAATGGCCAGCATTGATCCCCAACGGGGCTCGGCGCGGCTACAGGCACTGAAAAACTCGCTCCATTGTCGGGAGGAATTGACAAACCTCCTCGCCTAAATAGTCCAGCTGAGGCGGGCTGGAGGCACGCAGCTGTAAAGGGCTCCCCTCGCCCCGCTCCCAGCGCTCACAATGCGCCAGGCATGAGCTCTTTGTCAGGCCCAGACTCTGCAATTTTCTAACAAGGATTAAAGTTGTTTCTCGGCAGGGCCAGTGAAAAGCGATTTAGCAACATACCGTGCTTTCTTCAGGCAAGTTAAAGAGAAGTAGTTAAGGAATTTCATTATTCTGTTGACCGGTGGAAATACAAAACAAATATATTAAATATTCGCCATCTTTCTGGGTGCCTGAGCTATAACATTTGCAGAACGGTTCAATTAAATATAACACTTATTGGCTAAAAGCAAGCACTTCAGATTTATTTCTGAAGTTTTATAAAAAGGTGCAGCTGTTTGCCACCTGGAAGGAGGCTCAATACATACTAATACACAAAGCTTTAGTCCTTCTAGGGCTGGCATCCCTAACGCCTGAGACACAAGACCCCGTCGAGTTTCTATATCTTGCCTGCTCTTGATAAATGGGCACTGTCAAAATGCTTTTTCTGCTGAATGTGGCAAGGAGAACAACTTTTCTAGGAACTGCATTTTATCTTCCTACAGAAGCCTTTATCGCACTATTGATCAGGAACTGAGTCACTTGGACGACAACGGGATGCTTTTACTTCCTCCAGCTCTACTCTTCCTACCAGGAACAATAACAAAAAGTATTCTTCTCACTGAAGGGTTTGTACATCAAAGGCAGCATAATTTAAAATGCATAAGAAGTACTATGAGCATATGCAATATTAAATGCTAAAATGCCCAGTTTTTATTAAAAGGCAATGCTATTGCATTGTTTCGATATTTTGGTAGCTAGCATTAGTAGTGTGCCACGGAACTTTTAAAACATTTAAAAAAAATGTGAAACGACGAAAGAATAAATAAGTTATTCCTTAAAAATGCAAACAGCAAAAGTTAGAAAAAAGTTCCTGATCTAAGTTTCATAATTTATTTCCCTCTTTGTAAAATACGATTAATCATACTGACTTCCTTTGTTGAATGTTAATGATAATAAGGGAAACAAGTGCTATTTGTAGTGTCTTTGAAAACACTCTGAGATTTAGAAGTTATAGCTATATTTTCAAGTTTAGGTATAGACGTCACCCACTTAAATGAGGATTTTTACCTGAGCCGTGACGAGCTCATACACTCTTTTGAAGGCTGGAAAGCCTTGGTAACTCTTAAAAACAAACGAACCTGGGGAAGGATTTCTCAACCTGTGGG